TAACCATTACACTGAGCTGTGTTGATTGTGTTATTTAGAGTTCCCCTTTAAGTCTTTTGGTTGATTTTTAGGACGTTAAAATGGTGCAGAAAGTACGTTAGAAAATAAAAGCCAGCCAGTATCATCTATGTATCATTAAACTCACCTTGCTGTATGTCACTAGTTAAACGCCTTATGAAATGCCCTATTTTAAAAAGAGAAATGGTTTGGGTTCTAATGAGCTGACATAGCACCTTGGAACAGCTAATGACGGTTCTTTTTTCATGTGCACAATATGTGCATTGTAGAAAACACTGTCTCTTTTTTTCCTTAATCTTTTCAATGCAATTTATTGTAACTCTGTTTTTTTTTTTTTAAAAGGGTTAAAAGATATTATTAGACAGAGCATAAAGTATAAAAAATTTGCTTTCAGCCCACCGGCTTATAGATTTGATTACAACCGTAAGTCAACATTAAATAACAACATCAGCATAAAGCTCAAACAGAGAGATTGGTCTTTTCTCTCCTTTAGGGATAGGACGGCAACCTGGAAAATTGGATTGCAGGTTAAATTGTGTTGGATGCATTCTTAGAAATACGACTACTGACTCCCCCCCAAATCATTTATAGCGGAACACAGAAAGCCCCTTGGGTTGTAAACTACTCCTGTTTGTATATTTTATGGCTTTTTATAATATTTGGAGTCCAATGACTGATTTAGCTATGCTAATCACATATATTTCACTGCTTACAAATAGGTTTATTTATTTTCTTCCACCTATACTTGTCCTCCTCCTGTGCATCTAACTGTAAATACATTCTTATAATAGCTTTCAAATGCTTTCTGTGTTTTTGTAATGTATGTTGCTGTGTGAATTATAAATCAAGGAAATACAAGTTTGAATTTGCCTCTCTCCTTTAAATTCTTTGATACATTTAATGGAATTTTTCATATTTTTTTAATACCATGGAGTACATGTCATAGGGGTCATGAAAAGTTGTAAATAGGTTAACTGCAGGAGGGTTGTTTATGAATGGCTCCAGTTCTGATGTATTTACGTATCATTCTCCATGTATTTTTTTCTTCCCTCCGTCTTCAATTTTTTTATTTAGAAGAATTATTCTCTAAACAATGTATTGTGAAACCATGATAACAGAATTAAAAATAAAGATCAAAAAAAAGTCTTGCTGCTAACATGTTTTCAATGTTATTGTCAGTGTGTTCAACAGTCTTTAAAAGTTGGGGATGGAGGAAAAAAAATCCTTCATAGAAGTAAAAGAAAAACTGTTTTATTTTTATTTTTATTTTTTATTTAACAATTTTTTTTTTCCAATTTCCAAAACAGCTCAAAACAAAATCAAAACAAAATGATCCATCAATTTTTTTTTTTTTTTTTTTAGTCTCCTGCTTTGAGCATCAATCATTTTTTTCAGTAGGTGTTACACTTGCGGCAAGGCCTTGACTGCAGCCTTTGCAAGCCCTCCCCTTCTTCCCTGGAAGAGACTTTCAGTCTTATTACTAAGAAGCCTCTGAATCTCTGCCCACTGCTCATGAAGGATGCTGGTCTTAGATGAGGTCTATGAAGATAAATGGGGGTGGGGATGCAGGCACACCCATTTAGAGAACTGCACCATTTCACTTAGGGGAACTGAGAGAAGGTGGAATTAAACTTTTCTGTCTGTTTAATTGACTGCTGGGAAGTGCTTTACGATTACAGTTATAAAAGTGGCAATTTCTCATGGAAATCATTACTTTTATAATGTGCAACTAAAATAGGATACTCCATGCATATAAACCACTTCAAGAAGCGAAATTCAAGCAGGGATGATACCAAGAGGCATAATGTATAGATGGAATTTAAAGGAAAACATGTATTCCTAAAGCTATAGTGTCCCTATTCATTAAAGAAATTCTATAGTGCCCACCCCTTAAAACTCCTTCAGATACTTACCTGAATCCAGTGCCAATGTTCCTCGGCGTTGGGTCAGGCTCCGCCCATGCTCCTCCCTCGTTTACATCAGCCGGCAAGGGAGACCTAATGCGCAATAGCGGTGCTCGCTTTAGGATTTCTCCATAAGAAAGCATTATTCAATGCTTTCCTATGGGGAAAATTCTGACGCTGGAGGTCTTCGTGCATAGCATGAAGACGTCCAGCATCAGATAACGGACCAAAGATCCATTTTAATTCCGGAAGTCCCTCTAGCAGCTGTCTGGTAGACAGCCACTAGAGGAGGAGTTAACCCTCAGAGGTAATTATTGCAGTTTCTCAGAAACTGCAACAATTACCACTGTAGGGTGAAGGGACCTTGGACATTGCACCCAGGTGACTTCAATGAGCTGAAGTAGTCTGGGTGCCTACATTGTTACTGTAAGGTGTTTGCAGCTGTTAGGTAAAGGGGACAGGGACTCTGCACACAGATTATTTCAACAGGATTAAGTTATATTTGTCATAAAAGTTATATTTATCTAATGTATTCTCATCATTTGTTACCATTTTATTTTAAAAGGTTTACTATACATATTTAATTGTAACTAACAATATTTAACATGTTTAATTTGTCAATATTGGTGCAATATAGTTTCCTCTATTCCTACTGGTTTATATAAGTAGTTGAACCAAAGAAAATGTAGCGATCGCCTGTTTAGCAAATCAGATTTTTAGCCTGGTATACTGCAATATTTATAAAGTATGAATTAACAAAGAAAACCCCTGGTCTGTGTTTCTTTTTTTTCTGATTTTCTCATAATTTGACTTGTGATTCCCAGCTGTCTCTGAGCAGGCAATTTCCAGTTCACGTTTAATTAAAGATGCTCTTTGGCGGTAACTGTACCAAGTGAATGTATTTGTGAGATACTCTTTCACTAGCCCCCAGTCTGTTTAATCAGGTCACTACATTTCTGGATAACTTGGGGCACATATTGGCGTGCGTTTAACGACCCAACAGAAGCAGTTCTCTTCTTGCATCCTAATCATTATGGATTCCTGCTGTGAATGGAGGTTCTGTTGTTACTGATACACTCTGTGGCTCTCCTGAGTATCGTTGAAATTCTTTATTACTAACTGTCGTTCCCTTGGGGAGTGCTCTTCCCAGTTCAGCTTACTGAGAAAAAAAAAATCAAGATCTGCTTCATTTTTAATACAATTCTTCAGAGACTCTTCTTTCTCTCTTCTTAAAGAGTCTGCCAGTCTGCCAGCAAAATTCAAATTACACTGTCAAAAACATAACAAGAATGACAGGTTTCATTCCCCTTTACGTTAGTAGCACAAACAGCTCAGGTGGATAATGGATTTTCTTGATGGAAATATATACGTGTATTTTCAAACAGTAAAACAATGGTGCGTTGATGTGCTAAAGACTGTTTACTGATGATTGGATAGCAGATAGCAGAAGCCATTACAGACAATCCGTTATATATGTCTGTAGTTTGAAGCATGCCTTTTTCTTTCTACTACGTGGTTAGGCTTTGCCCTCCAGTGCATTGTGTTCATGGTGATGTGGCCCTTTAAGATTTTGAATGAGGTACTGAGACGAGTAAATGTATTTCTGTTACCCCATTGCTAAAAAAAAATACATTTGTCAACTAAATCAATTAAAAATACTTTATTGTGTTTTTAAATAAAATGATGCTTGCAAAATGATGAGACAAATCTTGTACAATATAAACAGTTTAAATCGAAGTTAAAACATTTTTACAGACAAAAAAAACCCCAACATATTTTAAGATTTTTAAATGGATATAAAGGTTTTCAGGAGACAAAATGTGTTGGTCTTCATAGCCAATAGATGTTGATCTACTTGTATTGTAGTATATTGCTTTCATAATGGCATTAGAAAATTAACAAATGAAGATAACAGACCACTATAACCCTTAATAGTGTATGTCGTTCTTTTAGAGAAATTGCAAAGAAAGCCATAGTGTGAGTGCAAATTTCTACAACATCAAAATTCACCCAAAAATTGGAGGAAAGTCTGACAGGAAGAGGTCTGACAAACCCAAAGTCACAAGAGAACCAGAAACAAAGTTTCAGGGAGATATCAGCTTGTGTCTCAGGACAAGAGCTTCAAGCTTAGCTAAAAAGACGACTGACATTTTAACTAATCATTTAAAAACAATTAAAAAAAATTAAAAACAAGCTAAAAAATGAATAAATTATATATATTTATTTATAGATTTTATCTTTTTTATTTTTTTTATTTTTTTAATGATTAGTTAAAATGTCAGTCGTCTTTATATACAATTAATGCAACTTAATCATATTTCTATTAAATGATATTTTTTGGGTGGAGAAAATGTCACTTTTATGTCTCCCATGTTGTAACTCTACTGCTAACTGGCCAACTGCTGCTCAACCTAACTGGCCTGCCACTGCAATTCCAAATAGAAGGCACTAAGCAGCAGCAGGCGAGTTAGGTTGAGCAGCAGTTGGTCAGATATCAGAAAAAAACTGAACCAACATGGATGTTTAGCTAAATGGTAATAAAAAGTTTTTTTGTTTTTTTTTTACATAAAATCAATATACATAATTTAATGCATATCATTAAGTTTCATTAAATTTAATGATACAAATAAGAAGTGAACATTTGATGACAATTGTCATTTAACACTGATAAAAGCAAGTCTGAATTTCAGTTGTGAAGAGAAGACTTGACGTTTAAGAAGGTCTAGAATGCTATTGGTAAAATACCAATATACGAAAAAGAAACTGCCTGGGCCATTAAGAGACTGCAAGCTTTTATGGACAGATGTTAAAAAGGCAAAGCAACATGAAATTATCTAACATTTAGCCACATTTATTATAATCATATTATTCATTTTTGTCATGTGAGAGCTGCATGCTAACGGTGAGATTTTGTCACCTGCATCATTTACATTTAAGTTTGAGACAAATAAATCAGACAAACAAATAAATAATACCACAAGGTTCTTTATAATAAATTGTTCATATTGTATATATAAATTGTACCAGAAATAAAACAACACTGACACTAATGCATTTTATTTAAGAATTTATTTTCCTACAAATTTGCAAATTAAAGAGAAACCAGCACAGAATTGCACATTAAACAAAACATATTATACATTCCTATAAGAAAAAAATCTGTAGGCTTTTCTTTGCTATCAGATTAACCATTTCAGCTGTTTGATTCTCTTTTATTTTCCTTTAGACTCAGATGATAACTTATTTCAATTTTTGAGTTTCCAGGTAGATTTATCAAACAGAGAATTAAAATAAAATGTAATTTGTCTATTAAAGCATGGCCACTGAGGTCTGATTGGGGTTTAAAAATCTTTTTTTTTTTTTTACCTTTGTTTATATAAATGTGGCAAACCGCAGTCAAAACATAAAGACACATGACGGAAATATTCTGTCATGATTCCCTTTTATTTCTGAAACTGTGTCCTTAAGGGGTTATGATGTAACAAATATGCTTACATTTTGTTTTAGCTATTATGCATCGCACATGCCAAGTTTATTAACCATTAGTACATATTTCTTTCATACTTAATGTAAAATATATTTCTAAAGACCTATCCTGGTTGGCAAAATTTATAAAAGTATAAATATATAGTTTTTAATGTATTGCAATACAGTAATTTGTAGGATTAAGAAACCTGAGTCCAAAATTGTCTTAGTATCACTTATTTCAAAAAAACATAACTAAATTCTCTCCAATTGCAATCCAGATAATGCCTAAAAACAAATTGAGGGTTTATTCATCAAACCAAAAATTGTGGAGAATTGACAAGAGGATTAAACAATTTTAAAGTGGGTCTGACCTTCAAAAGTGACAGATCCAGTTAGGGTCCAGTAGCCATGGGGTGCAGGGGAATGCATGTTTTATATGCAATAAGCTGTTCCTCGTGGCTACTGATGTCTTTTTATTTTTGTAGACCCTATTCATCTCATGGTGCCTCACCTGGCAGAAGTACATCAGTGCTGTACTCTTGTGCGTGCATTAAAGTACAATACTGGGCTCGATGGAGAATCCTGTGAGACCAAAAGAGTCTCCGTAAAGTGATGCTTGAATCCCACAGCCATCACCTGGACACAAGCTGGGTGTGCAGCTATGCCTTTTGATGACTTTTCAAGAAAATTCTCTTCAAGTCAGCATGAGTACCGTACTTCATAAAGTTTTCATCTTTAGGGAGTACTGATAAGTGACAGTGCAACTTTTTAGTAAAATCTCAGTAAATATTACAGTTTAGCTAGTCAGGCCTACAATCTTCAAATTTTCTTGTCAATTCCCCATAATCCTTACTGGAGAAGAAATTTCAAATATAGGTTCTAAATTGGAACATGTGAAAAAAGACTCAGTTTGATAAATCTACATATTACAATTATCCTCCTAAAGTTTATCCTGGAATGCTGCTATGTTAAGTTTTAAAGACAAATACAAATTAAGCAAATTAACAATAAGTGCGTTCAGTATCAAAACAATTAAACAATCAAAAATTTACAAGTAAAGTAATACAACAAAATTAAAAAAAAAACAAGAAGAAGAAATAAATCAGGAGGGTTTGTTCTTAGTTCTATATACGAGACATATAATTGATCATTATTTTTAACCAAGATATGACATGTTTTATGTTCCGTTGTTTGTTGTGCATCTGCCTGACACAAAAATTCTGAAGTTTTCAAATCCAAATTCAAAATAATAAAAAGTGATAGTAAAATTGGTTTAAATAAATTAAGGGGAATGGTAGTCCCCAGAAGTTATTAAGAGGCAGCTTCACCCTGTTAAACATGTTAAGTTGTACGATGTAATTGAGATATTAATGCTGTGCCAAGTATCAAAGAAGGGCAATGGATGGACACTGCATCATGATAGAACACTGGCATGCCTTTGACAAAACACAATGTGAATACAGGAAGTAAGTATACATAGTAAATGAGAATTATGACTTTTCTTTAAATGAAAGCCTTACTGAAATCACAAGATGAGCAGAGTATTGAGAGAGTGTGGATCATATTTCTCAAGGCACAGATGGGGCAATTCTAGTCTAAAGTAGTACTATACTTGTACTAAGGAACACTAAAGGAATACAAACATATATTCTGGACGCTATAGTGTCCCACTACTTATTTAGGAGTGTAGGTTTGAAAAGTGAGTATGACTTACCTTTTTTACCTCACCGTGCTAGTCTCCTCAACGGCTCATAAAAAAACCAAAGGAAATACCATAGTGTCATACTATTGTAATAAAACCTTTAAGGAATAATGAATAGATACACTCATGTGGACTAAGCCTAAACACTCCATCCATCACAGGTGAGTGTATCCATTTGTAATTGTTTTAAGGTAGTATTACAACAGCTTTACGCTATAATGTTTTTTTGAGAGGCATTGTGAAGAGGATATTTAAACAGGTGAAACATACCTTTCATTGATGGGGTGACTGGCTTTTGTGGCCCAGATGCGATCATAGTGAGGATTGCTTAGTAGCTCATGTTTATTTAAGTGTGCAATATACCTATTTCAATTTGGGAATGTTATTGTCATATTGTCATATCATATTGAGTTATGTATTTTTTTTTATTTTTTTTCGTTTTGAGTTTGGAATTATTGACCATAATGTGATACAAGTTAAGAGATAAGTTTATGCACCTTAGGATGTTATTTTTAATGTTACAGCACCCCACTTCACTATTACAAATGGCGTATTAGGTGTGTTGTTTTTTAATTGGGGTGCACACAAAGTGTGGAAACAGCTATCGCTAAATCACTTTTAACTAAAGATATTTCAAGTTGCAGAACACATAGCACTCATCTTCTCCCCACTACCTTTTCTTGTAATTCCTTTTTTAATCTCCTCCTGAGCTGTGGAACTCATATTACCACTTATACTGAACTCCCATTTTCCAGTAAATATACTGTGTATTTTCTGTTGGTTTATGTGACCTGTGTAGTTTTATGCCTACATTGATCTATTTTTCATTATCCATGTTTTCTATTGTGACCTTGTGTTATATTGAAAAAATGTGTTTAAAAAAATTGGATTACTGTTGGCGGAGCAAGTTCCAGACACAAGCAGTCCAAGCACGCGGAGCTCTGTGCATACGAGCTGAAAAAGCACAAATAATGGCTGGTCAAGGGACACCCCAACCTGTTACAAAGCCCATAGGAATGTACTACAAGATGGGGAGAAAGAATAAATAAAAAAATAATAAAGACCCAATCATCCCAGGTTTACCGCCGATATCGGGGACTTACTGCTGAGGCCTCTTGGGGAAACCAGGCCCAATATGGCGGCGGTCCTCGATGACTTTTCAGGTTACTCGGGCGACTCACTCCTCCACAGTATGGATGATCTGGACTACAAAGGTCCATCCAAGCCTTCCCCCCTAAAAGAGGTCACCTCTCCTCCTGTCACAACAGCTATACTTACCAGTCTTCTAGCAGAGCTCAGGAATTCACTTGGAACACACCACAGACACCCATAGCATGCAGATAACAGAGCTACAGAAACAAGTTCAAAACCTTGCCACAGCCCAAGTTCTCCTAACCCACTAACTGGCAGCGCAGGAAGATAGGTGAGGGTGGAAACAACCTCAAGATCAGGGGCATATCAGAAAGCATCATTATGGCATAAATGCCACATCTCCTATGCAGGCTGTTTGCAGCTATACTACCCTCAAAACAAGCAAAGGGCATAACACTTGATGGCATGATCCGACTCACCAAACCTCAGCCGAGCTTGACAGCAGCTTCTAGCGATCTACTGCTAAAATTCCAGAATGGACAAGATAAACCCACTTTCCTGAATGAAACTGGGGGAAGACACCATTTCAATTTGAAGAGATGGATCTTACTTTCTTCTCTTATCTCTACAGCACTATCCTGCAGTGGTGAAAGACTCTCCGACCTCTCACATCAATCCTAACCGCCAACGGCCTAATGTACAGATGGGGTTCTCCTCGTTACCTTCCTATCTTGCACCAGGACACAGAGCAGAAGGTGTCAGATGCCTCAGAGATGGATGCTATCCTGTCTAAACTGGGCCTTGTAATTGGCCCCCAGCCTACCACCACCACTGTCTGAGACCCTGCTAAAGTCATTCATTTTGTCCCATGACCCATAGCACAACGAGTGCAGCAATTACATGACTCTCTGTTTTGTCATAGTTCCCTTTCTTTATTGATATTGCCCTATGTTTGTATATTGTTTTCCCAGTTTGCAACTTTCTAGACGCTCTATTGTCTCTGCTCTTTGTCAAGGAGATAACCCCAGCTATTCTAGCTCCGATTATTACCAACACCCCCAGCTCCACTCATTTTATACACCACACTACCCAAACCTGTGGAGCTGTCTTTCATACTATGTCCTCGTTTTCAATGTATTCTCATATTCTGTAAGACTCTGTCTGAACCTCTACTGTTGTATTTTAAATACTCTCAACTATCAAATACCTGCACACAATTTATGGTTACTATTGTGCTCATCTTTGTCTGACTGTGGAATAAATAAAGAATAAAAACAAACAAACCTGGTTACAACCCCCCCCCCCCAAAAAAAAACCAAAACCCTGATTTCTCTTAATCTCTTTAATTCTCCGTAACCAAATAACTAATGTTATATTTCCTTAAAGGGGAACTGTCCCTTCCCAGAATTTCTTTAACAGAATGTTAACATTTTTCTGAATGTAATGCATATGTGTTTGGAACAAGTGAAAAATAAATTGTAAAAATCCACAACTTTATCTTGCAACTGGGTGCATCCATCTTAGCTCCCTGTCAATCGTTCTTATACACTCTGTTTTTGGCACCTGGCACTCAGCATTGAGAAAACATAAAAGGAAGAGGAAAAAATAAACAATGCTTGTATTTATTTTCTCCATCAGCATAATTTGTTCTGGCTTCACCTTATCTGAACTGGAAGGTGATGTAATTTGCTAAATCTTTCATATAAATGTAAAAGAAAATGGAGCACCTCGTGAATATGTTTAACACAAGTGTAGGTGATTTATTCAAAAGTGTAATTTCAAGAGAAGTAATAGTTCCCCTTTAATTTTGACATTACATAGTCAATTCACATTAACTCACTTCTGTGAAAACAGCCCACAAAGTTAATTAAAGGGACACTCTAGCACTATATGTACTACATTTTGCTGCAGTGGGTGTGGTTCCAGGAGTCCACAAGCAGTCAGATGACACGCCAAATAATACCAGTTAAACCTGACATGAGTTCATATGATAATGTAGACTAACTCAGACAGGAAGAACCGAAGATGCCAGAAACAGCATGGTAAGAGTCAAACAATTCATAACGGTTTGACAGCGTACCAGCAGATGGCACCTGGGGACTCCTGACACCATAACCACTATAGTATGTTGGATATGGTGCCTAGAATATCTCTTTAAATTCTACTCTCATCCTTTTTATTAAAAACAAAAAGAAAACAATACTAAAGTAAACTTGAAATTGTTTCCAACAAGTATTTATCAAGCTCTCTTATTTAGGGCTTATCCAAAGTTAGGCTAGGGTGTGTACGGTTAAGCCTTGTACATGAACTTTGGGACAGACAGTGTTTGAAAACCGACGGTAAGTTTCTATGGTCTTCTCTGCTTTACTCTCTGCACAGAAGCAGTGAATACTATGGAGACTTCAAATTTGAAACACTGTCTGACCCAAGGTGCATGAATATGGCTGATGGGTCGTGTCATATACTAAAGGTATTTTTATATATATTTGTATATTTATTTATATATTTCATTTAAAATATATATATATATATATATATATATATTTCCTCTCAAAACTTGATTAAAGTATTATATTAAAAAAATAGTTTTGACATGACAGATGCCCTTTACAATGACCTGCAGGAAACATAAATATATGACTAATTTAGCTCCTTCTGTGTAAACTGTAAAAGTAGAAAATAAAAATGAAAATGGTCATGATGACATACATTTTAAATTTCCGAAATTTGCCTGTAATTGAAATATTTGTCAATAGAATAGTTTGGTATTAAGTCGAAAACCATCTAATCTAATCAAGTCGTCCAAACCAGTGACATTTAATCTTTATAGATATTTTGTTAGAAAGATTACACAGAAACATTGCATTTGGCATATTATCCTTTTAATACCAAGTGTATTCTTTTTTGAGTGTATAATTCAAAGTATTTACAAACAATACAAAACTCTGGTTTTATTACAACGAGACTCATTTTTGATCAAATCAATGATTTCTGAGGCTGAAAAGGTTGCAGCAAATTTGGCCAAAATCAAATGAACCAATTCAAACTCTGAAATTTAGGTGAAATTCATTAACATTTTACATTAATTCAGTGTAGGGGGAAGTATATAGAATTAATATACTGCAGAAAGAAAAGAAAATAATCGATTTAGGAGTAATCAAAGTAGCTGCCTTGATTAGTTAATCAATTTCCCTCTTACAGCATTTGTTTACTATATACCACATACCAGCCATGCCCAATTCAACAGCTCGAAAAGATGATATGTTCTAGTATCCCAACTCTGAATAAATCTCAACTGAATCTCCTTCTAATGTATCTGAATTAACTTTGATTACTGGAAAAATTATTTAAAAAAATATTCAAATTAAATATTAAATACATTCAGTCTATTGGAGCAACACGACCAACATTGTTATAGACTGAACAACATGTAAATCGAGGAATTATATATTATATATAACAGCTCCCTTATTGATTGTTCTTAAACATACAAACATTTCATAACAGCAAACCAAAATTAAAGAGTACATTAAAAAAAATGCTCGATGTTATCTAAGATTTTGACATTTCCGGTGTTTTTATAATTCGCTGGATCTTTGTTGCAAGGTATGTAGCAAGCCAATATTTGTAAGTGTTGTAACTTCTTACTGTGCAATAATCTACATAGTGTTTTATTTAATGTATCCCTTTACTATTAGTAACTGAAATAAAACGAAGTGCTTAGTCCCAGACCCTAGTCCAGTCACACACAGACCATTTTGTTAAAAGAGAAGGGGGTATTTTTAATTGAGTCAAGTATTGTTGTACATGTCTGAAGGTTTATATTTTAATCCATGCTTATACTAAGAAATTAAGATACGTGGACAACATTTAACTACACTGAGTATAGAAGGAAAGTTTTTTTTGTTTTTTTTTATAATAGTCTTCAACAGGTCTACTGACCACATAGCTCTGAATGGTGGGAATTCCCTGACACACTAATGAAAAGAAGTTGGTTGGCAAAATTAATGTTAGGGAACATGTGGGCACCTACTTGGTGGTCTACTTTGTGTGGAGGTTTAATTGGGAAGGAGTTGGTGTCTTGTGAACCCTTGGCTTATCCACATCCCAATGTGTATTGAGGATCCTAATAGGAGGCAATTGCACTAATTCCATTCCGTTCATAAGCCATGAAACATATTGAAATCACCACCATCGGATCTATGTTCCTGGGATCCCTTGTTTTTATAATCCCTTACCTCTTGTACCTTTTTTCTATTATATTATTATATGAACATTAGGTACAGAGAGTGGGGTTACCAGTCCTGTTTTTCTGAAGACTATTAAAGGATATAAGGACCCTTTATAGGCTGTTTGTGTTGTGGGTTAAAGGGACCTTTTAACAGGTTTTATGTAAGCCAGTGGGATTTTGGGGAAACTTTAAAGGCTATTTACTAAGTCAATGGACAAAGAACAATGTGCTGGACTCCCCAGTCTGCAAATAATTTGACACATTTTGAGTTGATTCAGATTCTGTTCAGTATTTCAGGATAACCTAAACTCCTATAATGAGCATGGAAATTTATTACTTAGGGGTTTACATTTCAGTTCTTACTCGTCATTTTGTGCATTTGACTTTTCATTTGTAAATATTGAAATATTATATCCAAATTGTGCAATTTGTAGGCACGTTTGAAATACAGTAAACAACCCAACTCCATAGATTAATATAGAAAATTACATTTAAATGAGTTTATCCTGATGATTGTGACATCTCAAAACCTTGTAAATTTGCCCCAAACCACATTTTTTTCCGATTGGTCAAAAATAATACTAAAAGCAAGCATTAGAATGAGCGTTGAGATGTACAAAGTGTTTCTGCTGGTTTGAGGAGTGATTGCTTGTATTCAACCATTATACAAGATGTTTTGTTTAAATTACAATAGTCAAGGACATTGACAGAAGCAACTTTGATTAAAGAGCATAGTGCAGATGGTTAGAGCATAGAGAATAATAAAGCAATGGTTGCATAAATGACGACATTCAATTTCAGTATTTTAGCAACTGGTGCAGGGTCAGAGAATGGTTTTATAATGTGAAATGTAGTGCAGTGTGTCTTAGTATTATGGTGCTGTATACTAATTATACCAAACTCCAAGATATAACCTACTCTTTTTTTAGCCTCAATAAAATAACTAAATATAACCAAAATTATCATTCCATTATATAATGTTGGCTAAGTAAAGACTCCAGTTTAGTAAGCTTTCCAAATGATTCAGTAATGTTAAAAAAAAAAAAAATTCCAACTGATTTATCTTCAAGCATTCCCATAAACGTTAACAGTGTTATTTACTAACATGTAAATTAAAACTTAATTCAAAGTGAATTTTAAATTTAATCTCGAAATAGTTGAAACAGACACAGTCAGCTATGCTTTCAGGTTGACTACTGTGGCTTTAAATTTTAAATTCTCTTTAAAATCCCTTTTCATTTTAGTAAATAAACATATAAAGGTAACTTTGGAATTGAATCATTTGGAATGCTTATTAAATATTTTAAGATAAGCTTTTTAAATGATTTAATAATTTTGGATAAAGTTTTAAAATAATTTAATATTATTAAAAATATTAAAATTTTGTAATATTATATGTATTATTTATTGATATATTTGTAATATGTAATATATTTTTTATATGTTATTATTTTTTTAAGTAATTTTAAAAATGTATCAAAAAATATTCAATCATTTGAAAAGCTTATCTAGCAATAATAAATTGAGGCCTAAGCTGGAAAAATAATCACATTTTTAGATTTTCAAATATTTTGGCACAGGTCTATGTTTAATATACACACCACTAAGTTTTCCTGATTTTCAGTATGGTTCATGTTGCAGCTGACATGGTATCGATCACATGGTGCTAAGCTTGTGATTGTAACATTTTACTTCCTGCCACAAATGACCATAGATTAGTGATCCTTTAAGTGTCAGAAAAAGTGTGTAATCCTCGCTTGTAGTACTGTGAGGAACATATTGAATGTGTGGAAATAAATGCATTGACATTGTCCGCAAGGTCTTTCTGACAGCTTATTGTCTGCGATGTAGTAATTGATGTCCATTTTCACCAGATACAATGAATCTTTTTAATGATTTATACATTTTCTTACAAAGGATTATGTACAAGCATTTTTTCCTGCCCTCCCCCCTCGCCCCGGCAAAAGGTTAACTTAAACAGTATGTTCTGTTTAATCCTTTTCTTGTTGCACATCTATACAGCAGGGAATGTGTTAAACCGCCCAAAGAACTTGTTATTTGTTTTAACCCCTAAAGTGTCATTTGGTCTGAGTTCTCTCTGCTTTGGCACTAAAGGGGTTAAACTACCAGAGAAGCTCAACCTGCAGTATTGCCAAGAATAATTAACTAATTTACCACATGGGGGCCAGGGAACATTGCTCCAGCACCCCTCGGCTGGTGTTGGGGATCATAACATGCAAATTATTGTTTCAGGAAATTCATTGTTTACAAACACAAGTGAATTGAAAAGAAGGTAGACTTGTCCCTTAAAATCTAGAACCTGTACATATTCCGGTGCGTCCTCTTGAACAGGTTTAAAGCTATAAACCATCATTTTTTAGAAGAGTTCAAACAGCAGGACGTCTTCGGTTCAAACATTTACATAGGTTGGATTCTCGTTTGTGCTCTGGTTTTCAGCAACTGTGGAAATACTTCCTGGGAGGAATAAAAACAGTGCATTAAATGTGCAATAGGTACTTTTAAACACATGAGTGAAAATGTGCAATGTGGTTATATCAATAGAAGGAGAGGCCGACTTTTGACCCAGCTAGTGCAGGGGTAGCCAGGAAGTAGCCTTAAATCTGTTGTAGACCTGCAATTCCTATGTTTCTTTGGAGGCCTGTAGGCAAAGCATCATGGGAATATTAGTTCTATGACAGAATGAGGACTACCTGTTGGATACTCTGACCGAGAGTCATTGTTTAGCCACTTGGGGAATGTTACATATAAGCACATACATACCTATATAAAACAGACAAAGGTCAACAAGCAGGGAAGAAGTACAACACGCAAAGGCAGAGGAAATTAAGGAACAAAGACGCTAAATTCCTGTTTCCCTTCAATTTATAGATAATTTAGGATGCTTCTACTTGAAACCTTTAGCATGTCTGTGCTTCCTGTCAACAGTTGATGGGTAAACATTCAAATAAGGTTTAGCTGAAAAATTATTTAATTGCTTTGTGGTCACAAGCTACAGAAGAATTCATTATTGGCTTGTGATCACTCTCTAGTAGGAAAGTTATATTATAACATCAATGGCTACCTCTTTGGACTGTGACCACATAGGTAAGAAAGCAATTGTTTGAGCATTGTACAAATGCACAGAGCATTGTATAATCTATAATTTATTTTTCTCACTATGTTGTATTTGCGCACTTATTTTACCAAACATTTGCCCATGTTACTTTTCCTTTAACAAAGTTTCTAATTAATTTGGATTATGGATTATGGACAACGGCTTGGATTATGTGGCTCTGGGCATTAACATATCAATGCTCCTTTCAGCATCATATGTATGATCTGCATTAAGAAGGTTATTGTAAGAATAAAGCATACAGTGGACTTAACACATTTGTCTAAAGTTGAATTTCATTCAGTCACATTATCTTCATTTGTATATTACACATTATTATCTAATTCGATGATGATCAAGAATTTAGTCTAAAGGCCATGTTTGTGCTGCCCTCCATATGTACAGATGTATGTGGATATCAAGTTGGTGATCTGTCCAGATTGATAACTTTTTAAAGCCCATACCCAAAGACACCTGCAGATGACCCTAGAAAAACTGTATTTTGGCCATATATCCAGTGATTGTCCATTCCAGCATGAATTAAAATACACTGACTGTTTGCTGCCCATCTTGCCACCACTTCCCATTGGAGCTTATTCCAAAGCCTCTATGACATTCTTTAGCAGAATGGTCACTTGAACGTATCTCCAAATATCTGGACTGGGTTGTATGAATATGATCATTATTATATCCTAGGAATAGAATGCATGCTGACCATGAGTGATTTGTAAATATTTTGTATTTTGACCAGTTAGAAAACGAGAAGTTTACCAATCAATCAAATGGAATTCAGTGGTCAATAGACTTGTGTACAAATCCTATTCACCTGCATTGAACAGATCAAATTCCTGTTAATCTACGCCCACATTAAGTGACCTGTCACATCAATTCCTGGACAGATAGATTAGTTTGGTGAAGATTACCAGAATTTTCTTTTTAATTCGTCACATGTGAAAAGGATTTATGCACAAGTCTATTGGTCAATGTGAATATTTGAATTACTCGGGGAAAGTGGAGTGAAATGCGTATTTAAATGGAGACACATAATTTGTGAAATTGGGATAATTATCAAAACATCAAATGTTTTAAAGGACATCTTAGCAGTCTTTTTTCTGTCTCTATGCACACATTAGGTGTCTGGTTACAATTGCAGAATCTAATATCGAGATTATTTATAGTCATTTCTCAAATGGCTTTGACCACTAGAGACCTATTGCAGGACATTAAATATTTTTTTGTCTGTTTCTTAGCTCAAATGTGTGTCATGGGCTGTTTGTTGCAATGTGTATGTTATAAAGCTGTGTGTGTTTATTCATTATGCAGGTTATTTATCTTGGCTATTAATTATCCAGGGACACTCAGCAGAATTTTAGTTTGTTCATCATGCAATCTGAATTCTTTTGTTGAGATTTCATGTTCTGTGTGTTTCAGAAAACATGAGATTAGCACAGTAGGAACCCCATGCCAATGGCTACAGGCTGTTTTTTGGAGCAAATTGTCTGAATTCATTCCCTGCAAAGCAGCTAGGATTTGGATGATTATGGAATGAGCTGTTTGAGCATTCTATGGTAGATTCCTGAAAGTGTAACCATTACAGACAATTGTGTACTGCCAAGGAAGTATAATTATAATTAATGGAAACAAAATGCTAAAGAGCTCAACACAAACAAATCATTTTATGTATCAGTTTTACAATTAAACAACACAGATTTTATAGTTTACAACCTAAAATTAATTATGTTTGACAAATTCAGATGACAGACAAATACAAAATAAAGTTAATGTTTTGGAGAGTGATAAACGTATATGTAATATTTTCTAAAAAATATAATAATGAGAAACAAACAGTCTAATATTATGTCATTGTACCACAATAATTTCTAATATTCGTTGTGTATTGTGCAAGGCAGTAATGATTTGCCTAGGATCCACATATATTTCTCAACTACATTTTCAATCGTGGTGGAAATTAGGATGTACTACAGAAACAAAGAGCTTGTGTACTGAATTACAATGCTGAGTTTTAAAACTGTTATATATTCACCTTCCTCGTTCTAATCACAACTATTAATCAAGTTACACAAGAAAGGTAACCAATGTGATTCTGATATTACAACTAGGAGTATTTATCCATATGTACACAACAGAAACTTTAAAATGGGACAGAATACAAAACTATTAAAGCAAAACAAAAGCTAAATATACCCAGCTATCGATAAAGAATAAATTATGTTAAAAACAAAAATATCAGAAAGAACTTTTAAAACTATCTCTGAAATGTTTTGATATATTGAAAATATAAACATTAAATGCATTTTATTATGATTTGTTTTGTGTAATTAATCTATGGAAATCATAATGCACACAGATTAATAAAAATTATTCCAAGCCCATTGATCAAAAACACTCATATCTTTTCTGGCTAAAATACTTTACAAATGGTTCTAAAAATAAATTCTACCTTTAAAACAAAACTCATCAATTTATGTGCTTTGTTTTATAAGGACTAATCACTTCTAATGACTAATGATATGCTGGTTAATTAATGATGCCTATTTGTCAAAAATCTAAAATGTCAGGCGATGCAGTCAATGGAATAATATCAAGTGTAAAAAAAAAAACCTTTGATTAATATACATGTTAGGGGATTTGCACAATGTAGGTCTAAGAAGAACTCTCTTAGTTTCCATGACCACAGGATTGTGCTGTGTTTTCCTGAGGAGGCTGACTCACCTCAAGACTAGAATGGGGACTGCTTGGAGATCACTTAGTACCTATAGAAGTGTAACTGCTGATGTTTAGGTGTTGAGTTACGCTGGAGTGAATTATATGTGAATATCAGGAGCTCTGTTGAAGGTAATAAGTGTATTATCATTGTTGTAACAGTATGACCTGCAGTTTTGTAGAGAATGTTAATGAGGATTGGACGAGGGTGGAAGATTGGAGAGCAAAAGGCATATTTCTTTTTGGGATTTTGAGGGACTTGAATCCAAATGGGCCTTTGGATAGTTTCTAAAATCACAGTCTAACTTGGGTTACAGAATTCTTGACAAGGCTGCTTATTTCCATTTTCACAGAAAAAGACTGGCAATGGAGGCCTTGATGAGCAATCAAATGGCATTATTTTCAGTATAACATTTTAAATAACACTTGGTACACTGATGACTTGACCAGTCAGAGACCTGGCTACCAGTTCTGCTCGATAAAAAACAATGAGTAAGCTAGCTACACCAATGTAATTCAGCATCAAT